CTTATCATACCTGCAAACTCACTGTGTGATTCATGTACCAGGACACCCATATCACTCTATCACCAAATCCTGCATTCTTTCACCATTTAAACAGTATGCTGCTTTTCTATTATTCCTGGTAAAGTGGACAAGTACACATTTACCCACTTTATACTCCATCTGCCAAGCTTTTGCCACTCACTTAATCTGTCTATATGGTTTTCCAGACTCCGTACCTTCTGACAACTTACCTTCCTGTCCATTTTGGTACCATCAGCAAATTTAGCTACCATACTGTCAGTTCATTCATCAAATCCATTGACATTGGCTGTAAATAGTTGAGGCCCCAGCATGGATTCCTGTGGCACTCCACAATTTACAGCATTTCAATCTGAAAATGATTTATTTAACCTCTCCCGTTTCCTGTTCACTCGCAAATCCTTCATTCATGCTAAAATGTTAGCACTTACACCCATGCCACAACCTTTGACATAGCACTTTATCGAATGCCTTTTGAATTTCCACATACGCACAGGTCTACCAGTCATTTCCCCTCTATCCAACATGAATGCTACTTTGTCAAAAAAAACCCGAGTTAGACACAATTTCCCTTTCACAAAATCATGCTTTTTCTAACAACCACAACAATCTTTTTAACTTTTAATATTTCTTATCTGTACCCAAACTAATTTTACATTTTGATCTTTGAAGTTAAGGTCATCTCTCAGTACTGAACCAATAGCATGCTTAATAAATGCCACCCCACCACCTCTTCCTATCTTCCTGTCATTTGATATGTCAAATACTTTTCAACATTCAGTTCCGAGCCTTGGTCACCTTTCAACATATATTTATAACTCTCAGAGTTACACAGCATGGAAACAGATCCTTCGGCCCAACTCATCCATGCCGACCAAGGAACTATGAACCTGCATTCCCCAAGTCCCTCTGTTTAACAACACTCCCCAGGGCCCTACCATTAACTGTGCAAGTCCTGCCCTGGTTTGTCTTACCAAATTGCAACACCTCACATTTATATAAATTAAACTCCATCCTTAATCCACCGACCCAACTGACCAAGATCACATTGTACTCTTAAATAACCTTCTTCACTGTCCACTAACCCACCAGGGGCATTTGCTCCACTCCGCTTCCCGAGTTCAATGACCATTTTCTTCATTTTGTTGACATTGAGGGATATTGTTGGTTACACCATGCCAATAAGCTATCTCTTTCCTGTACCCCGGTCTCATTGTTGTTTGAGATCCAACCCACTACAGTGGTGTCAACAGTAAGTTTGTAAATGGAACTAGAATTGAATTTGGCCACACAGTCATGAGTGTATAAGGACTATAGTAAGGGGCTGAGTACTCAGCCTTGCGGGGCACCGATGTTGAGGATTATCGTGGAGAAGCTGTTGTCACATGTTCTTACTGACTGCAGTCTTCATGTCAGGTCCTGAGGATTTAACTACCTTCATGCGTTTTAAGACCTCCAGCACCTCCTCTTCTGTAACGTGGACTCTTTTCAAGATATCACTTTTTCTTTCCCCAAGTTCCCTAGCTTCCATGTCTTTCTGCACAGTAAATACTGATGCAAAATATTCACTCAGGGTCTCGTCCATCTCCTGTGGTTCCAAACATACATGGCCCCATCTATCTTTAAGGGGCCCTATTCTCTCCTTTGCTGCTCTTTTTGCCCTTAATATACTTGCAGAATCTCTTTGGATTCTCCTTAACCTTATCTGCCAAAGTTATCTCATGTCCCCATTTTGCCCTCCTGATCTCCCTCTTAAATGTACTTCTGTACCCCCTATACTCCTTGAGGGATTCATTTGATCCCAGCTTTCTATACCTGACATATGCCTCCTTTTTCTTGACCAGAACCTCAATATTTCTAGTCATCCAATGTTCCCTACTCCTGCCAGCCTTGCCCTTCACACTAACAGGAATATGCTGTCCCTGAACTCTTGTCATCTCACTTTTGAAAGCAACTTACTCCTTTAATCTGCAAACAGCCTCCCACAATCAACTTTTGAAAGTTTTTGTCTAATATCATCAAAATTCGCCTCGTCACAATTTAGAAATTTAACCTGTGCACCAGGCCTATCCTTTTCCATAACAATTTTAAAATTAATAGAACTATGATCACTGGTTCCCAAAGTGCACCCCTACTAACACCTCAATCACTTGTCCTGACTTATGTCCCAAGGGGAAGTCAAGTTTTGCCCCTTCTCTATATAATGATTCAAAAGGTTTCTTGAACACACTTAAATTCCTCACCATCCAAGCCCTTAACACTTCGGCAGTCCCTGTCCTACAGATTTAGCCCCATCTGTGCTAACAATTAGTGATAAATGCTGGCCTGTGTATCAAGAAAAGTAGAATATGATAAAATCATGCTTCACCTATATAAAGCTACAACTAGACCACACTATGGCAATTGAGATTAGCTCTGAGCACTACAACTAAGGATGGAGATACTGACCTTGGAGGGAGTGCAGTGAATGGTAGTTGGACTCCAAGAGTTAAATTACCAACTGGGATTCCACAAACTAAGATTGCATTCCCTAGAGTTTAAAAGGTTCAAGAGAAATCCTATTAAACTTTGCAACGTATAGGGAAACAAATTGGGTGGACATAGGAAAACTATTTCTGCTGGTTGGAGAATCTAGGACTTGTGGCACAGACTACAAGTTAGAGCCAGACCTTTTAAGAATGAAGTTAGGAAATATTCCCATATGCAAAGGACAGTTTGAAATCCTCTTCTGCAAATGACAATTGATGCAAAATCAATTATTAATTTTGAAAGGGAGATTGATACATTTTTGCCAAGCAAAAGCATTGAGAGGTATGGGAGATAGGTGGCAATACGTTCAGTGAAGGATCAGCCATGATCTCATTAAACAGGAGACCAGGCTCTAGGGGGTTAATATGGTTTCATCCTGTTTCTATGTTTCTACGCTCCTACTGGATCGAAACATTATCTGTTTCTATCTCCACAGACGCTGCCAGGCCAACTGAGTTTCACAAGCACTTTGTTTTTATTTCAGACCTCCAACACCTGCGATATGTTGCTTTTTTTTTGCTTTTATCAGATCTCTTCTTCCCCATAAAAAGCGAAAGAACTGCGGATGCTGTAAATCAGGAACAAAATCAAAGTTGCTGGAAAAGCTCAGCAGGTCTGGCAGCATCTGTGAAGGAAAAAAAGAGTTAACATTTCGGGTCCGGTGACCCTTCATCAGGGCTCAGAGTTCTGAGTTCCTCAGAGTTCTGAGGAAGGGTCACTGGATGCGAAACGTTAACTCTTATTTCCTTCCCAGATGCTGCCAGACCTGCTGAGCTTTTCCAGCAACTTTGTTTTTGTCTCTTCTTCCCCATGCTCTGCTTGGCCTCAATCACTTACTCTATCACCACAGTGGAATCATTGCAGTATGCCAGTATTAATGTATTATTTTATCAACCATGATTCCAGGAATTTAGCCCATCTCACCTGCCTTTACTGAGTAGGCCCACAACATCTCCTATCGAGACACACTTACAAAATGGCAACTCTGTCAATTTTAATGCTGCCTGATGCTCTCATATCCATTGGTCACTCCACACATTTGAACCTATAGAGAATCAACACGTCATCCAGCAATGAACATGATCCAGTCCTTACATGTGTCCACACAACTCAGAGATTAGAAGTAAAGATCTCAGTTAATGTTCCCCTTTATTAACCAAACAGCTTACACAACTATAACCATCGCCTACAACACTGTAGCTCTGCCTCATCTCAAACTATTCTAGATCAGAAACCACTGAAGATAGAATAGCCCCCCCATCAAATAAAGGAATTTCCTGAGACTTACTAGAAGAATAGGACATGAGTCACAAATATCATTGAACTTGAAGCCTTTATTCAGTGTCCATTGACAATTCTTCCAACACCACTTTGAGGAGCCTATTTGAACACGCTCAAAATAATCATGCAGAAAAGAAACTTTAAATAATTTTAATTCAACTGGAATTAGGCAGCTCCCAATACAGATTCTCTCTCTGCAAGATCAAGTCAAATGCACAGACAAGATGCAAGCGCACATTGCCCAGAGAAATTTATTACAACGTGGGTGTTACAGACACTGATTATCTCATAATTCAGAAGGAGAAAGTGGTTTATTCTCATACTGCTTCTTCTGCCCCGGCTGTGATATTATTCAGCTAAATTTCCAGGTGACATCAAGTATTCCTGAGAACGTTCCATGTGTCAGCAAGACAATTCATGCTGACAGAGTATTTGTCATCACAAAACATGGTCATCTAGCTTCAATCCTGCCAAAGTTCAGACAGACACATTTTTCAACTGTGGACAGCAATCATAGTGGGAAACTTGGCCAACATTTTTTTAATCAAAGGTAAAATCACCCACTGTCCCTCTAAATGACCCCTCTGGAAATATGCAGTTGAAGGCCATTCCTAGGATGGAGTAGGGATCAAAGAAAGAAGAAAATGGTGATCATAGTCTTGGATATTTCAGTGTATGGAACATACATTTAAAGAGATTGAAAGAACTGCTTTTTTCATACAAAGCACTATTCCCGCTAGTCTGGAGTTTCAGGGCTTTGTATTCAGACAGTCAACATACCAAATGAAGATTTTAGTTAAGGCACAAGCAATAAAAAATTAATACTGCAACCTTATGTTCAGCATAGGAATAAGTTGCTAGTTTTAGAATCCCACAGCACTTTTAGATGGCAAGTACACTAGTAATTCAAAAAATACGTCCTGTTTTACCTCAACAAATTCAAAACTTGTAAGTGTATTTATTATTTTATGTTGATACAACAGCATCCTCTTTATTCCTATGACAGTATAAAGTAAATTTAAAGTAGATTTCTTGGCTGTATTGAAGTAAAGGTAACTGTCAAATTAAACATTCCCACTTTTAAATGAAGTAATAACTGACTGTCTTCCATCATTGTTATCAGCTGTTACGAAATCATCCCAATATCTGCTTCCACTATTTACCCTACTTACCTGTGCTCCCATTTCATTGTACAAAAGTTTCAGAGCTGTCAATTGCTCATCCATTAATTTAGGGTTCTCAGTCTGCTGTTTCTGAACAATTTGTCGCCCAGTCTTTATTACTGTCTCCACCTCAAGCTTCACTTCGCTCAGTGTTTTATATAGTTTCTAAATAAGAGAAAATCTTTTGATTAGCAAACGTGGTAACAGAAGATACCAGCAACAAAAAACTGAATGGCGCATATAATCTAGACGTGTTTATCTGTGCAGGGATAGAATAGTTGAGGGAAGGAAAGTAACCTTCCAATTAAAAAGTACAATAAAGTTCATCCTTAATTCAATGGTTGTGACAATTCTATCTACTTAGTAAGATAAGCTTCCCAGTTTAAAAAATGTTTCCATAAACCAAGCAATTTTTAACAATTTTTCAATAAAATCACATTTTGCAAAATGCATCCAGGACAATTTTAAATAAGAAGTCAAATTGCAATTAAAATGTTCATAAAAGTGCTGTGACATATTCTATATAAGGATCTTTGCCGTTATGACAAACAGATTCAATGTTTTATAAACTAAGTTGAAAGTGTTGTATTCAGCAAAATAACAAATGCAATTGCAAGGCCAATTATCTGTAAATTAATTTTTAAATAAATTTAGTTTTAATTAAGTAGTTGGAAGACAGTAAAATTGGCAATCGGCAGGGTAATATGCTTCTCCTGCAGAACGTGGGAAATCAGACAGAGTGAACATCACTAAAGATGACAACTGCAGGAAGTGTGTCCAATTAGAACTCCGATCAGATTGTATGGATCGATTGGAGCAGCAACTGGACACACTTAGAAGCATGCAGGAGACAGAAAGCCTCATAGACAGGAGTTTTAGAGATGTGGTGCACCCAGTGTTCAGGCAGAGAGACGGGTGACCACCAGAAGGGGCAGGAGTCACCTATGGCTATCCCCCTCTCCAACAACTATACTGTTTTGGATACTGTGGGCGGGATGGGGTGGATGGCGACAGCATCAGCCAAAATGGTGGCATCACAGCAGGGTCTGTGGAGGAAGGTTCAAAGTGCAGAAGAGCAGTAGTAATAGGGGACTCCATTGTCAGAGGCTCAGGCAGGTCTTTCTGTGGCTGCAAAAGGGACTCCAGAATGTTGTGTTGCCTCCCTCAGACCAGAGTCAATGATTTCTCTGAGTGGCAGAGGACATTCTCAAAAGGGAGGATGAACATTCAGATGTTATGGTATACACTGGTACTAATGACATAGGCTGGAAAAGTGACAAGGTCCTGCAAAGAGAATTCAGGGAGTAAGGTAGTAAGTTGAAAAGCAAGACCACGAGGTTTGTGATTTTGGGATACTCCCTCTGCCACATGCCAGTGAGGCTAGGATAGGAAGATAGTACAGTTAAATATGTAGGAGGGAGGGCTTCAGATATGCATGTCTTCCAAAGCAGGTAGGAAATGTACAAGAAGGATGGGTTGCACCTAAACTGGAGGGGCACCAATATCATAGTAGGGAGATTTGCTAATGTCACTCTGGAGGGTTTAAACTAGTATGGTAGGGGGGCAGGAACCAGAACAAGTGAAATGACAGAAGAGAGATTTGAGACTAAGGCCGGTAAGGCCAAGAGGAAGAACAGAAAAAGAGAGGTTGCTGAATATGGCAGGATTGGCAGTCTGAAGTTTATTTGTTTTAACACGAGCAGTAATGACAGGTACGGCAGATGAACTTAGAGCTTGGATTAATACATATAACTATGATGCTGTAGCTACTTCAGAGAATTGGTTGAGAGAAGGACAAGACTAGCAGCTTAATGTTCTGGGATTCAGATGTTTCAGGCATGACAGAGAGGGATGTGAGGGATTTGCTTTACTGACTAGGAAGAATATCACAGCTGAGGGAGGACACCTTGAAGGGCTCATCCAGCAAAGCTCAGGAATAAGAAGGGTGCATCATTTTGATGGGATTGAACTACAGGCCCCCTAAAAATCAGCAGGAGATAGAGGAATAGATATGTCTACAAACTATGGAAAAGCTTATGGAGTACTTTGTCCAGTTCTGGTCGCCCAGTTATAGGAAGAATATTATTAAGCTCGAGAGGGTTCGAGACGAGATTTAACAGGATGTTGCCGGGAATAGAAGGTTTGAGTTATAAAGAAAGGTCAGATAAGCTGGGACCTTTTCTCACTAGTGTGTAGGAGGTTGAGAGGTGACCTTACAGAAGTTTATAAAATCATAAGGGGTATTGATAGGGAAAAGACACCTGCCATTTAACCTAAGATGGGGAATTTCCAGACAAGGCAGCACAGTTTAAGGTGAGAGGAGATAGATTTTAAAAAAGACTTGTGGGGCAAATTTTTTCCACAGAAGTGAGGAAGTGGTGGAACAGGGTGTAGTCACAATGTTTAAAAGAGACTTTGAGAAGTACACGAATAGGAAAGGTTTGGAGGGATATGGGCCAGGAGAGGGCAGGTGGGACTAGTTTAGTCTGGGATTATGTTTCTATGGGTCTGTTTCTGTGCTGTATAACTCTATGACTCAGAAAAGATTGTATGTCTAATACAATATATTAATATGAGATAATACAAACAATGAGCAGCAAAAAGGTAAAGTTCTGGAAAAATCCAGCAGGTAGCATCTGAGGAGAGAGAGAAACCACAGTTAACATTTTGAATCCAACACTACTCTTCTTTGGGCAAGAATAGACTTGATGTACAACATAGCTTATGATTTCATAATATTTCATGATGCTTACCATACAACTATCCAATTGAGACTGTATTTCCTCAAGTTCAACACTTCTCATGTCCAACACATGCAGTTCTGCTCGAACACCATCCAACACATGTTTACAATCTAGCATACGCTGCTCAAAATTTGCTGGCTTCTGGAAAAGCTGGAATTTTGTTGACACTTCTCGAAGTTTCCTCTGTTAATTATACAAAATTGCAAACTAGTAAACACCGCTGGGCTGCATAGTGCCTTGCACTTTGTTAGTTTACAAAAGAGTACGTACAGCTATCTAGGAAAAGCACAGAGAGAAATATCAGAAAATGGAAGTTTACGCAAATTAACAGGGTGACTGATTTAATCTATATATACAGCCTCATGGCATATACATCTGCAGCCCATAATGATCAAAAGCTTTCTGTGCATTGTATACAAAAGCATACACACTTACAAAGGTAAAGACAAACGAGAATAAAGTGAAAACCCAAACTACCGCATAGAGTCCTCAGTGCAGCAAAGGCCTATAGAAAGAAATATAGGGAGAAAGTGATACACACACGTAAGAAACAACTTAAGGAAGTATTAGTAGCTGAAAATTTCAACATTTACACAAAGAACCATTGCAAAACATACAACTGTACTTAAGCTTAGAAGTTTCAGAATTAGAATCCACATCACCAATTTATATCAATTAAAATTCTAAGATACACAGCCTGGCCCTGGCCACTCAATGTGCAGAAAGTTAACAGAGCAAAATAAGGCTGAAGGGAGACAAAATAAAGAATTGACTTAAACTTGTAACTTTCTTTTAGTGAAAGATCATTACCACAAGGCAGTTTAGAAGTTCCTCCAAGAAAGCCCTCTAAATACACCACATTAGATGTCAAATCTCCCAAACAGCTTTCTGAACTTAAAAGTAGAAAATTTCCTCCCATGCATTGCAGAGTTACAGTCTAAACAAGCCAGGACTCATTTTTCTTTATGGTTCGAGTACAGGAGAAAATAAGCCACACTCATACTTGCTCAAACTAATCCAAAACAGAAGAGTATGGCAAGTATGTACAAGCAGGGACCTACAAAATATCAGCATTCAAATTGTCCAATTTCATCCTCTCATACATTCCTCCCATGCAAACCTATACCTCTCATAACACTACCAACACCATTCCCTCCCCGCTATTCATCCTAAGCATCCCCATCCTTCTAATGCCATTCCTTCTATCGCATTCCACCCTTCTAATCCCTTTTTTCTATGCAATTTTATTCTTCCAATACAACTCTCCTCACACTATTCCACTGCACTATTCCAGCCCTTTCATGCTGATCAATCCCAATTCCTGTTCGCCAAGGCCCATTGTTTCCATCCCCATCCATTGCCCTATCTCCACTGCATGCCTTTTATGTTAATTCTCCAGCATACCACCACTATCCCTCTCCCTCCTGTGCCTGGTGCACAACTCCTCAGTCCAATCTCATTCCCCAAGTCTTTTAGCCAGGGTACCCTTGCCTTTGAACTCTACTTACCGTCTAATGTTATTTTTCTCCACGAACCCCCAGCTCCCTTTGACCCATTTTACTGCCACTGCTACTATCAACCATCGGTAGCCACATGTGTCACATACTCCAATTCTCTACATGCCCAAGTGCCTCAGACGGCAGGCTCCAACAATTAAAACAATCTACCAGTCAATCAGAAAAGTGTGTACAAACAAAAATTATGTTTAACCATACATTACATAAATCTAAGAATTACTAGAGCTACTTCAGAATTGCAACAAAAATTGAACTTGTAACATTTTTTCAAAGTCATACGTCAGAGTCATACAATACAGAAACAGACCCGTCGTTCCAACTCATCCACGCCAACCAGGCATTCCAATCTGACCCAGCCCCATTTGCCAGCATTTGGCCCATATCCCCATAAACACTTCCTATTCATATACACATCCAGATACCGTCTAAATGTTGAATTGTACCCAACTTCACCACTTCATCTGGCAGCTCATTCCACACATGCACCACATTCTGCGTGTAAATGTCACCCCTCAGGTCTTTTTTAAATCTTTCTCCTCTCACCTTAAACCTATACCCTCTAGTTTTGGACTCCCCCACCCGAGGAAAAGAGATCTTGACTATGCCCCCTATCCATGCCTCATGATTTTATAAACCTCTATAAGGTCACTCCTCAGCCTCCAACACTTCGAGGGAGAAAAGCCCCAGCTCAAACCCTCCAGTCTCAACTACATCCTCATAAGTCTTTTCTGCAGCCACTCAAGTTTAACAACACCTTCCTATAGAAGGGCAACCAGAATTTAATCAATATATATGCAACTTTTTCACGTTAAAGAGGTGCACAAATTCATAGTTTGTTTCAAGCATTCCAAAATGCAGCATTCAAAGTCTCTCGATCTTCAGTTAATCCATTCGTACCTGAAGCAAATCCAATTGAGTCCCACCACGAGAGTTAGGCTTGTTATCTAATAAAGGCAGGGTCCTCATATTTTTCATCTTCATCTCCTCTAAGTTGGATTCATAAGCTGCAATATCTGTTTTAATTTTCTATGAACAATAGAAAAAAGACAAGATCATAACTCACTTTGTAACATGCTTGCAGAAAGGCAACGGAGCAAGGTATAGTTCCTCAAATCACAACCAGTCAATCAGCACATTTTCACATTATGACACTAGTTGACAATCAAGGATAGAGTTAGCAACCACATATTTTCTTGTTAACTTTAGGTTTATATTGAAGTTGAGATCTAGGATGCTATTGATGTGGTGTACATGGACTTCCACAGGCATTTGATAAAACGTCACACAACAGACTTCAGAGAAAAGTTGCAGCTCATGGAGCAAAAGGGACGGTAGCAACATGGATACAAAATGGTTGAGCAAAAGGAAACAAAGAATAATGGTCAATGGAATTTTTTCTGGGTGGAGGAAGGCTTGTAGTGGAGGTCCCCACAGACAAGTATCGGGACCTTTACTTTTGCCGAAACGCATTAATGACCTAGATCTTGGGAGTGCAGGGGACAATACCAAAGTTTGCGGATAATTCAAAAATTAAACAATTGTAAACTGTGAGAAGGACTGTGTAGAACTCCACAAGGACTTTGTCCACAGACAACATAAGGGGTACAATTCTAACGAGGATGCAGGAGCAGAGGACCTGGATGTATATGTACACAGATCATTGAAAGTATCAGAACAGATGGAGAGAGCAGTTAATAAAATATACAGTCTCCTCGGCTTTATTAATAGCAGCTTACAGTGCAAGAGCAAGGAGGTGATGCTGAATTTGCATACCACTTTTGTTAGACCTCAGCAGAGTACTGTGCATGGTTATGGGCACCACTCTACAGAAAGAATGTGAACACAATGAAGAGAATGCAAAATAAATTAACAGGAATGGTTCCAGGGCCGAGAAAATTCAGTTAAAAGGACAGATTTTGAATTTGGAAATGTTCTCCTTGAAGAGAACAATATCAAGAGAAATCTGCTAGAACTTTTCAACATCATGATGAGGCTTGATACAGAAGATAGGGAGAAACCGTCTCTCCTTGTAAAAGAGGCACAAGAACAAGAGGCACAAATTTAAAGTGATTTACCTTAAGAGTCACAGGCCATTTAGTCTATCGTGTCTGCTCCACCATTCAATAAGATCATGACAGATGACAGTCTTCAACTCTACTTTCCTGCTTTTATCCTACAACTCTCAATTCCCTGGTTGAAGATCAGTTAAACTCAGCCTTGAATATATTGCTCTGCAGCCAACTGCAGTAAAGAATTCGAAAATTCACTACCCTCAGAGGGAAACTCCTCATCACTGTCTGAAGGGTGGCACCTTATACTGAGATTATGCCCTCTGGTCCTAGTTTTTCCCATAAAGGGAAACAACAACTCTATATCTACCCTGTCAAGCCCCTTAAAATTTTTCTATGTTTCAATAAAGTTGCTTCTCATTCTTTTCAACTCCAATTAAGACAGGCCCAACCTGCTCAACCTCTCCTCATAAGACAGACCCTCCAAATCTGGGATCAACCTAGTGAATCTTCTCTGAATTGCCTCCTCTGCCAGTATTTGCAGACATACTGCAGATTGGATGGGTTGAATGGCCTTCTTTGGTGCCATAACACTTCTGTGATTCTACAGGAGTGCAGGGAGAGTTCATTGAAGAAAATGTGGTTCCACAATAAAATAGGTATTGCAACAAAAGGACAAAACAGACTTCAGACAAATACAGAAATTGCTGGAGAATCTCAGCAGGTCTGGCAGTATCTGTGGAGAAAAAGCAGAGTTAACGTTTCAAGTCCAGTAACACCACCCTTCAGAACTGGGTTAGGGCTCTGTTTTATTTCAGATTTTCAGCATCTGCAGTTCTTTGGCTTACTTTACTAACTTCAGGCAGGCTTGATTAATAAAAGAATCAATTCATGAAACTGTTACAGCACAGAAGGCAGACTCCAGCCCATCGAGTCTGTGTCAGCTCTCCAAACGAGCAATACACTTAGTACAATTCCCCTACCTTCTCCCACTAACCCTGCACATTTGATTCTCAGGTAATAGTCTAATACCATTTTCAATTGAACCGGCTTCCACCACACTTGCAGGGAGTGCATTCCTGATCATGAACCACCTTCTGCATGTAGAACATTTCCTTGCGTCATCGTTGCTTCTTTTACCAATGACTTCAAATCTGAGACATCACATTTTTGATCCTTTCATAAGTGGAATTGTTTCTCTCTATCTATCTTGTCCTGAACATTCAAGATTTTGAATACCTCTATCAGAACTCCTTGCTCAGCGTTCTTTTCTCCAAAGAAAACTGCTGTAACTTCTCAAATCTTTCCTCATTACAGAAGTTCCTGATCCTTAAAACCACTCTTATGAATCGTTTTTGCAGTTTCTCTAATGCTTTCACATCCTTCCTAAAGCACAGAACCCAGAACTGGATGTAATACTCCAGCTCAGGCCAACCTATATCTTGCATAATTTCAACATACCCTTCTTGTTCCTGTATTCTTAGACCCTATCAATAAAGCCTGGTATACTATATGCTTTATTAACTGCAGCTTCAACCTGTCCTGCCACATTCACTGACTTATACACAAATACACCCGAGAATAATTTCTTGCCCTCAACAAGATTTGTCAAGGGCAACTTTTCAATTTTCAGAGATTTGTGTTTCGGTCTCTCAAACTCCTTCATTAGGTCATACAATCACTTAGTAGCAATACCTTCTGCATTTGTGTTGACATATGGGGGGGATTCAGACTCACACATAAGCTGAATTAGAAGAATTCAACAATATCCTGCATGTAAGCTTTGTTGTTCCATTTTTTAAGTCACAGTTAACACAGTAGGAAATCATTACTTGCCTTGACACAACAGTAATTAAATTGACGCAAGACAACAGGCATAAATTGACATTTTTAAAAAATCTGAAAGACACTTCTATAATAAAAAGCCAAAACACTACACTTTCTGCAGACCAATGAGGTCATAGCTAAACACATGAATATCTTACTAGCAGTCACTGCACCTCAAATAATACATAGTCTACAAAACATTTTGTGTCCAGATAACATGTATACACAAACCTTTATGCAACTGAACCATTCAATATTAAATTATACAACTGACATTGGTGATACTATATTAAAATCATGACATTTTCCCTGAACTCCTACAGTTTTAATCTAGAGGCTCCTCAATAATTTGCAAAACACTTATAACCCAGTTTCAAAGTATACCTTTACTAAAAAGTTTAAATTCCTTCCCACCTTGCAGCCTCTCAACTCCCCCTCCAGACCCTCTCACTCTGCCCTTGCAGCTCCTCTTCCTGCCTCCCCATTATGACTCCTCTTTTTGCAGGCTCACATCTCAATCCTTTCCAGTCTCCACCCTCCACCAGCTCCTTGGCTTGGACCCTTGCCCTCACTGACCTTGCTCCACATCCTCAACCACTGATCTCACTCCTGATCTACCCTGTGGTCCTCACCACCACCACCTCACCTTGCTGATCTTGCTCCAGCTCTCACCTACAAGCTGGCTCACTGGCCTCATTCACCTTCCCAGCAGTCTCGCTTCCTGCCTCTCCCTATAACTCAAATCCTCCAGTCCCAGCAACAGCCTGGTAAATCTTCTCTGAACCCTCTCCAATTTTATAATTTCTTTCCTACAGCAGTGCAATCAGAACTGTACACAGTACTCCAGAAGAGGCCTCACCAACATCCTGTACAACCTCAATGCGATGTCCCAACTCCCATATTCAACGGTCTGAGCAATGAAAGGCAAGTGTGCTAAATGCCTTCTTAATCACCCTGTTCACCTGAGATGCAACTTTCAAAGAACTATGTACCTGAACTTTTAGGTCTCTTGGTTCGACAACACTACCTAGAGCCTTATCATTAACTATAGGGGAACAGACAGCCATTTCTGCATCTGCAGTAATGATTCCAAGATGGGGGGTCATGAACATTCTAGGGGTGGGCAAGGTAAACAGCCAGGGGTGGATTCTGTAACTGCACCAATCATACTGCAGATAAGGTTTACGGAGCATGCCTCAAAAGGTATTAATGTCCATTCACTCCCAGTACCATACACAACTGAGCACTGAAATAGGCACTTTAAGCTGATGAATGTGTATGTTTTTGGATAGCCCAAAAAGGCCGTGGCACATGGGATGGTGGCAAGTTCTTTCATGAATTATATACATTAAGTGAAATATTTCTGTAACCTGAGCTTCTTGTGGCATCTGTAAGGCATCTATACGGTCTGTTAAATACAAGGTTAACTGCTTATCCAGCAATCCAAGTGACTCCTGCAGGTTGTGCATTCGCTGTTCATTTTCTTGAGACATTTGTAAATGCTTCTCCAATGAAATCTGCTTGTTCACAGCCTATGAAACAAACAAGGTGTTATGATCCCAGCTGATGGTAACACTGGCCAAGTCAGGTCCCAGAATGAAACCTGGCTTAAAGATGATGCATCTTTTTCAGTTAACCATGTGGTGATTAGTTAGAAGAACATATTCACACAAGGCTACAAACTTCCGTCAATAACAGGAATAAGTTTATCACACAAAGGAAATGAACAAAAATCAAAGCTATCAGAATGTACATGATAGTTAGAATAATCTCAAAACACATAGCAAAGCAAAGTTTAGTTCAATCTGTTTCCAGACACTCTCCATTACAAAAACTCAAGTATTGAGAAATAACACCCCTTATCTCAACACTTTAGGGCTCCATTTAACTGACTACTGACAGCTTCTTTGCCATGGACAGAGGAAACGGTTTGATGAATCTTTTCCAAATCTGTCAATGTGAACTTTTCACAAATTCTAGAACATAAACTTCATCAATTCTAATAACCTGAAGATTTCTAACTGATTTGAATGTTTCACAAATTAAACACTTCAGCTGAGCTAAATGAGTCCCTGAACTACTCATAGGAGGAAAAAATCTAAACTGGCTTCTAAACTCAACACTAGTGTCTACTGGACTGAATATTTTGGTTTTAAAAACTTGCTCATCTAGATTCTTCTGAAATGAAAACGAAACTATTACAGAGACATTATAGGTTTATTCTACCTGTCATAAACCAAAATTATTAATATCTCTTCATTAGCACCAAAGGGGCTTGCAGTCACTGGCTCCACGACACTTAATGGGTTAGGTCACTGTTCTAAAAAGAATCTTTGATCATGTTTCTTTGAAAATAAAACCCTAAAAAATAGCCAACACTCACCTCCATCTAGCCAGAATACAGATTCCAAAAATAATATTTAATTAAATTACAGACCTTTCATCATAGAGGACAGAAGAGGTTTCGTTAAAATTCACTATAAAGAAGCCTTATTCAAGGCATTGGGATACCTCCCAGGATATTGCTTACAACCGTGGGATACAGAAAGCAAGATTATCAGCTGAAATCTATCTATATGATGACCCTCTATCATATGAAACATCGTATCCTACACAGTGTTCTGTTACCCTGTTACACTTGTACATTATGATCTGCATGTAAAGCACATAAGGTAACACTTTTCACTTTACCTCGGTACAGGTGACAGTAATAAATCAAATCAAAAAATGACTAAATCAGGATAAAGAATCACTGGACAGTAGGGTTAATTTCAATACAGGTTGAACAGATCAAGTTCAAACTTCATAGCATTGAAAAACAGTTTATGAAGAACTTTAATATAATCTTAAAAATACTAATGAAGAGATAAAATCTGGCATGTTGAGGAAATGTGTGGACCAGGTGTATTTGTAGTGTAGTTTGGTTAGCATAGGCCAACGTTAAAACCCGATTGACTCAAGAAGTCAAATGGTTAACCAGGAGCAGTGTTACAAGAATAACAGGTGAATGACTACAGTCACAATTACAGTAATATTCCACAAAAACTTATCTCCAATCAGATGCAGTTATATTAAATTTTGTCCACATTCAACATAATTTCCATAACCAAATGCAGAAATTCTCTTTTCTCTTGGATTCATAATTTAAGTAGATTTATAAGGTTAAAAGGATATAATCAAACATATCTAAGGGAAAACTTCAGCACACTTGTGAGAAGGCAGAATACAAAATCTAATTAGAATGGAAATACACTTTGGCTCTAATTTAGAACACTTAAACACTGATTTGATGCTTGATTTATTATTCAAAGTTCAGCAGCCTCACATTCATTGGGTACCCAACAAACTTGCGATCCCATTCTTTTCTTGACAGTCTGTCAATTTGCAAACAAAAATCATGCAAATAATAAGAATAAATTACTCCACCATCAAACTTAATAAACATACAAATAACAGCATCAAGGTATTTAAGATAGCAGATTGGAACAAATGTGCTGCAAAGGACCTCCTACCTGGTGACTAAGCTGCTCATATCGAGTGTTGAATGCCTCCAGCTTTTCACTTATAAGTTCATCCAATATTCCACCATCAATCAGCGTCTGGCCAAGTTCACGGATTTGTGTTCGATTATCTGCTGGATGACGGAGTACAGACTCGAGGGACTAAGGGGTGGAGAATAAAGTACACAGCAAAGTAGCTGAAATGATTCTCCCAGTCATAACATGTCAGAGGTCAATGAAATAAGAGCAGTGAATAGTTTCAGTCATGGGAACCTTATTAGCCAGAGACAATTTAACAAATACATCATTACTAAACAGAACTTGAACTTTATGAATTAAAATGTCAGTCCTATCTAACAACTGCAGTACTTTTAACTATGTCATCACCAAATTAGACAATGCCCCTTCAAAATCTCTGTGCAATACTTGGGCATATTCAGAGAAGAAAATGCCACTATCTTAATGGAAAGAGCACATTGTTATATAAAGGTCATCAGATACAACATTCTCCAAGTGCAGAACATTCTGTTCTTTCAAGAACATGGGTCATAACAGTGTAATGTTCCCACTTTTTTATTACTCTATAACAATATTTGCTGATGGATGCAGAAAAGGGAAAATGTTTCTATTTCAAAGGAAGATTTTTGTTAAAGATTTGAAACACTCCCCTACAATAACCTACTTATATATCATTTATTATATCCATGTTATGTGTGTTGTTTAGCAAAGAGGACAGTGCTGCATTCACATGCCCCTCAGTGAAGAAGCAGCTAAGCCTCTATGGAGTCTGAGTACTGCACACAGATTCAAACAATGTTTAGATATAACTGCAGAATCAGCATGAAGTGGGTTGATATTAAAAAAAATGTCACTTTAACGTCACAGCTGTTGTGCAATTGCAGTGAGTTACCCTCTGCCTGCATAGAAAATATTTGCATATAATTTAAGAGAACTACATTTCAAGTTGCATCTTTAAGTTTTAATAAAGATGTTACCTCAAGGGCCTCAGTAACAGCTTCAACACTATCTGGTACATTTTCCGTGGTGTACAACATCTCCTCCAGATTCTTTAACCAATTGTTTTCTACGTCCAAGTAATGGAGCAACTCACACCAGCAAGACCACACCTCCTGTGGCAAAGAGAGAAAAGTGGAAAGCTTTACTTACATTAGATCAGCTGGTCAATGTTCAGGACAGTGGATAGTTTGACAACCAGGATACAATGAATAGTTTAGGGTTTGAATGAAGATTTGTAGCTCGAGTGTTGGTTGTAGATGTTGGTGTATTTGATAGCATTGGCTATCAAACCTCCCAGCTCAGCGAACACACCAACATCCACAATACAATGAATAGCTTGTGCTGGAAGAAGGTGAACTTCGGTTGGTATTGGGAGTGGCCGTAGTGAAGGGGAACCTAGTGAGCCATGAAGAAAGATACAAACAGGAAACTAGTTGATAGCTCTGTCAATGCACCTTTTGCCCAAGGACAGTGCAGTCCCCACCTAATGGTACATAACAGGTTGAAAAGAATTTAATGCATCAATATCAACTACTGTCAATTCTGAGTGACCACTGCTAATGCGTCTTCAAATTACTACTACTGGTGGACAGTAGCCTTAAGTGGTTCAGACAAATTCTTTAGAAATATTTTGACATTTATTCTTTCACCAAAATCACTCCTTTCATTTTTTGGATATCTTCATACACTAAAAACTGAAATCAGCAACAATCTGATTGAAGGGTCTAGGCCCGAAACGTCAGCCTCTCTGCTCCTATGATGCTGCTTGGCCTGCTGTGTTCATCCAGCCCTGCACCTTGTTGTCTCTGATTGAATGCAGAGCAGGTTCAAGGTGCCAAATGGTAAATTCATTTTTCTACTTCTCATGTTAGAAATGCAGTTCAAAAGTATTGTTTTGCTAGGAACAACCTGCGGCTGTTTTCTTCTTAATCTAGGTTTCTGGAATTGTTTCTCACACAATGAGTAAGAGAGAAATCCACACCTCAATTCAATCTCTCTCCACACATAAGCAGCATTTGTTTCTAATTCTTTCATGGGATTTAGGCACTGCTGGCATGGCAGGCATTTATTACCCATTTTAATTTTAACTAAAATTCTAAACTGAGTGGCCTGATTAACTACTTCAGAGGGCAATTAAGAGTCAACCAAACTACTACTTGCAAATCACAAGTAGGCCACACTAAGTTCACTGTGAACCAGAAGTATTTTGAAGACAAATGATGGCAAAGTCATGTTCTCCATTACGGAGATAATTTTATTTTAAAATAAAACAAACTCTTTTCATTTAATTTCCACCAGCTGCCACGATGGGGCTCAAACCCATGCCCCCAGAACATTAGCGTAGGCCTCTGGATTATTCAACAGTGACATTACCGCTGTGCTATCGTCTTACCAGGATGAAGGTCTCTACAATTTACACACAATTTATTCATGGACAAGTGCAAAAATCTCAACTGAAGGAATGAATGACTTCAGTGCTGTAATTCCCTGCCCAGTCAAAGCTACGTTAGAACACAGAACATAGAACATAGAACAGTACAGCACAGTACAGGCCCTTGGCCCATGATGTTGTGCCGAACTTTTACCCTAATCCTAAGGTCTATCTAACCTCCACCCCTACCTTAGGCATATGGATGATAGTATATCTAATAGCCGCTTAAACGCCCCTAATGAGGCCAACTCCACTACCTTCTCCGGCAATGCATTCCATGCCCCTACCACTCTCTGAGTAAAGAACCTACCTCTGACGTCACCCCTACATCTACCTCTACTCACTTTAAAACTATACCCCCTCAAAATAGCTACCTCCGCCCTACGAAAAAGTCTCTGGCTGTCCACTCTACCTATACCTCTGATCATTTTATACATGTTTTCTGTTGGCCAGTTTTGCTCCGAGGCTGTGAAAGCAACACCAAAGTCAGTGCTACTTGCACTAACTCAGTGGAAAAAGTTAGGTGTGGCAATTTTTCATTTAGATTTTTCTAGACAACAAGTTTAAATGAGCAGGATTACATTTGATAACCACCAGCTTTTCAAGTTCAGAGCTTTGGGAAGCAACATTATTAGCTTTAAAATATTACAATACCATACTGTCCTCATACCTGTGATTTTGAAAAACGTGTTTTGTGTTCCCTCTATTTCAGAGACTTTGCTTCCAACATCACATGAGTGCTACTTGACAGAGATAACCAGTTCCAGCTCCTCACTAATGCGATGCAACCCAAGGGGACGCACAGACAACTTAAACTGATTCTTGCGAGCATCCATCCTTGGATATCTCAGCACCCATCAACAGAAAATGATTTTCATCCTATCAAACTACACTAATACATAGCATCACTAGAACACCTGTTGCTTCATAGAAGTGTAATCACTACCCTCACCTTTAAAGTCAAATATTTCCGTTCAATCCTGTCACAAAGCCTCTTGTAATTCTCCATCACTGTATGAAGATCTCTGGACATCCTTTCCTGATCACTGGGTGGCACTTTCTTAAGAACTGAATTTATATTGTCTTTCAGAATCTTCACTCTAACTTCTTTCTGCAGCACCTCTTCTTTTGCTCGCTGTGCAGGGAAAGAAAAAATTTGTGGTCATCTTGTGCAGAGAAAAAGCAACCCATTAACCATGGTGCAAAATCCTTTCTTTCACCCGTATCCGTATACACACATTTTTCAGAATTCAATTACATTCTGAATCAATAGGTTTGATTGAGGGACAGAAACAGCACTTGCCCTACAGCACAGCCCAACATTTGCTAACAGCACGGGTTTGACCCTGTTCCTTTGCTGCTCTGTAACGCTCCTGACATTAATTAAAGCAAACCTGATCTAAAAGAATTACAATGTAGTAATTTCCAATATTAATTCTTTTACTCATACCTGATTATTCCTGGAACCAGCATGTTACATCTTACCTTCATTTCCTCCAAAGCAGTCTCTAATTCTTCAGGTGACTTATATTCGAAGTCTTTCTCTAAATATTCCTCTTCAGCTTGCATGGTCCATTCACGCATCTCCACAAGATCTTTCTTCAAGTTCAGTGTCTTCTCCTGACCTTCAGACAGTCTTGCCTGCTGAGACATAATCTGTAAAAAAAAAAACAGCACAGGAATCCTTCAGCCCTCCAACCCTGTGCTGACACATTTTGCCCTTCTCTTCACTTGCAGGATCCGTATGCCTCTATTCCCTTCCTATTCATGTCGTCATCCAGGTGTTTTTTTTAATGATGCTATTGTGCCTGCTTCCACCACCTCCTCTGTCAGTGCGTTCCAAGTACTCACCACCCTTTTAAATTCCTCTCCCTCCCAAACACCTTCAACCTGTGCCCCCTCGTAAGTGACCCCTCCACCTTGGGAAAAAGCCTCATACTTTGCACTCTATCCACGCCATTCACAATCTTATTAACTTCTATCAGGTCACCCCTCAACCTCCTGTGTTCCAGTGAAGACAAACCCAGTCTATCCAACCTTTCTTCATAGCTAGAATCCCCCATACCAAGCAACATCCTGGTAAACTTTTTCTGTACCCTCTCCAAAGCATCCACATTCTTCTGGTAGTGTAGCGACCAGAACTGTACGCAATATTCTAAGTCTGGCCTAACTAAAGTTCTATAAAGCTGCAGCATAACTTGCCTATCCTTATTCTCAATACCCCTTCCAATGAAGGCAAGTATGCCATTGGCCTTTTTTACTACCTTATCTAAATACGCTGTCACTTTCAGTGATCTGTGCACCTGCACACCCAGATGCCTCTACACATCAATACTCCAAAGGGTTCTGCTATTCATTGTATAATTTCCACCTGTACTTGACCTTCCAAAATGCATCAGCTCACATTTGTCCTCCAAAACATAAAAGCATTCACCTTGTGATTAAATGCAACCAGCAGAGACTGCACTCCAACTCTACAGGTATAATAAATCAGAAAATGAACAACGTTCTAAATTACTGTATAAGAGGTGCATTAATTAAGAGCTTCGAAAAAATGTTGCAATCTGTCACAATCCAAAAAGAATTCCTGTAAATATAAATTAATACGTGATAGATTTTATTCAGGGAAGGTTTTGATATTCATATCCAACAATAATATCTGGAAAGTTCAAAATCATAGACACTGAAATATAATCAGAAAAATGAAGGTAAAATTACCAGATCACTTGAGCACTTCACACAACATCAAGGTCATAATGCCAGGGGCATCACTCCTTGCTGCAAACTATTCCACGAGGGGCAATGGGCGAGACTTACTCTGTGCTCAAATCTCTTGAGCCTCTGGCTGGGCCTTGTAAAAACCTTCAGCCTCAAAGGTGACAGCACCTCCTACGGAGTTACAGGCCATGATACTGGCTGAGGTAGCGCTGGTACCTGGTACCGAACAAGTCGTAACATTGTCGGAATCAACACGTAGCACAGGATGGGAGATGACAAACACTGGAGAGGAAGAATCATAAGCCTAAACCACAGAAAATACAATTACAAAAAGGGCCTGATCTCATGGACTAAACTCGGTCACTCTTCAGTAAGCATTCTAGGTTTGCAGGGAGAACCCTCTCACAGATTCAAGTCCTATAAAAAGAACAAATCTTTTCATTCTGGCCAGAACATTCCATCATTATTCACACTTCCTGACACAGTAGAGAGCCAAGAATTAACAAACCATGGAATTTTTTACCCCTACCTGGTTGCTCACACTTTCAAATCGTGTGCGGCAATCAACCATGCGAGATATCACAGAGTTGGAAATGGATACCATTGGCTGCTTTTTCAATGATTCATGGATCTCATTCATTGATGTCAAATTGGACTCCACATTCTGAATTTCTTTCACAAATGTCTATATTTACAGACAGAAATCAATAGTTGAAAAATGAACTGAGCAATTATAGTCTCCCTCAGATAAATACGGATATCTCTAAAAAGCTGTTGTATCTGTAACACAGTAATTCTTTATGTTGTTCAAGTAAAGTTTACCAACACAACATCCTAATCTCTAAACTAAAGAACAGCTTGTTGAGAATAAATTACAGTCAAGACTAAACAACCTTAAATCATGCAAGTTTCTCTAAAGTAGTATAAGTAATTCGGTATAATGAGAGATAACAGAATGGTTGTTTGCCAAAGTGTGCAATCATTATTCTGTAAAACATTGTGATTTCATTAATAAATTGATCTAAAGCACCAAGTTCTACAGATTCTAGAGACTGTCCTTTCTATTTAAAGTTGCAATGTCTGGACAATTTTACTTAAGGTTGTTGTGCACCATAGTGCCCCTATATTAAGTTGACAGATTCTAAGATTGAATGTACTGGGACCTGACTTTCTGCAGATTCCACAAATGAGTGATGGAGCATAATGATGGTAGGAGGGATTAGAAGTTATAGAAAGGGTTGATCTACAAAAGGAATTGGTTTAGACAGGTCAATATCATTGAAGGTCAGAGTTTATTTTTATATAAGTTAAGATCTATATGGGTACATAATTTTTTTCCAGGGTTACTTCTTGATTTTCTCCTTTTACATTCTCATTTCTCATAACTTATTTAAGAGGTGATGCAGTCACGTGGCAACAAGACTTTCCGTATTTGAGTTGACATATGGGATATTTGGACTCTAAGAAGCAGAACCATATGAATTCATCAGCATGCTGAACAATTACCAAACCTCCATTAAATTAAAACCACAACTCACAAGGAATGCATTCATTTATTTGAGACCATGGCACTTAAATCAACAAAAACCAACAGACAGAAGTAACCAACAAACAGGGCTTTTTTTAAAATAATTAACACACACTGCTACACACCGAAACCATCACACTAATACCCAATGCATTTCCATTCAACATGCACAAAGCTGAAAAATCTGAGTCAGGTGGAAAGTACCCCTTTTACTGCATCTCATTTTCACATTTAAATGTAAGAACTGACAGAAAATCTGTCACGAATAGCTGAGTATTCCCTTATTGACTGGTTTAAAACTATTCTCTCTCCTTTGCAACTTTCCATTCCCTCCCTTTCTGCAGTTTCTCTCTTCTCCTCACCCGCCACAACTAGCCTTTCCTCACCACCCCTTACAGCCTCCTCTCTCCACTCTTTTTGTCCCTCCTCTCTCTCCAACAAGGCACTTGTGATCCCTTCCCCATGCCTGGTTGCAGCCTTCTCCTTTACCCCATTCCACTTGCAGCCTCCAAATCACCCCGCAACCTAACCACCTTACAGTTTCTTCTTCATCGCCTCCCTCTCATACCCAATTGTCTTGCACGCACCTCCTCACTATTCACCCTTCTTGCAAACCTCCCCTTTGTCCCTGTGCCAACTGCAGACTCCCTGCTTGGACCCGACCATCACTAGCAGGTTCCTTCTGCACTTCCAACCCCACCTTCTACACTCACACAACAACCCCAATGGCTCCCTGGCCTCAGCATTGGAGGAGGGTCACTCATGTATGTTTCGTTTTCCCTTCCTCCAATCACAGTCTGGATTTTTTTGTGTGTTTAATGCTGATAGTATATCTACCAGTAGCAAGCTTAGGGAAGGACAAGATAAAAATCGAAAGAACTGTGGATGCTGTAAATCAGAAACTAAACCAGAAATTGCTGGAAAAGTTCAGCAGGTCTGGCAGCATCTGTGGAGAGAAATCAGAGTTAACATTTCAGGTAGAGTGTACCTTCCTCAGAATAGAGTTCTCAGCAAGGGTTACTCAACCCGAAAGATTAACTCTGATTTCTCTCCACAGATGCTGCCAGACCTGCTGAGCTTTTCCAGCAATTTCTGTTTTTGTACGGGAGAGAACAAGTATGTGATTGGAGATGCAGCTCCTCAGAGTTTCTGCCTATTCCACTTACAGAGGGACGCTCTCCCAATGGCAACACCTTGCATAAATTTATGTCAGCGTTTTGGGGATTTCAGGGGTGAATACATCTAGGTCGTATTTAGACTTTCATTTCCTTCCTATGGTTTGGAAGAGGAAAACTACATATTAGAGAATTTAGTAGGAACAAAATTGCTGTTCTGGAAGATTTTAATCATCACTTACAAATTAAGACAAAGAAGGAATAAATAAGGGAATGGGAAAGGAATTTCTGAACTGCAGTGGGGAGCGCACTATTAGTTGGCCTACCATGTGGATGTGTTGCTGGATTGGTTGAGTTCTTAAACAGATCAGATCAATATGCTACATGTAAGTACGTAGTTTTGGACCCAGTGACCACAATATAAGCTTTAAAATTCATCTTTGATATAAAGCACAAAGACCTCAATAGTAGTTTGGAGTGCAATATATCTCAGAAAGGTGAATAAGTAAACTGGTGATGTGGAATGAGCAGTTCTAAAAAGGAGTCATACTAGACATGAAACATTAAATCAGTTTCTCTCTCTCACAGATACCACCAGACCTGCTGAGTTTCTCCAGCATTGTGTGTTTGTTTCGGATTTCCAGCATTCACGGTATTTTATTTTTAATGGAGTGAGTAGTTTTGGGTCATAAAGATTAGCTTAAATGCAAGAATATTAAAGGAAAAGGGCCGGAGAAACATCCTCTCACGCACAATGGTGTGGTTGTAAAATTCACTGCTGGGTTAATGGTGGAGGAAGAGAATGGGTCAACATTTATGATTAGATTGGGAATGTGGACAAAAGAATTAAAAGATGTGAAGGGATCTGAAAACAAAATGAGGGTGTCTGGGAGACTAGCCCTACACCAACACAGCTTGGGCCAAATGGCCTACTTCTACATAGTAATGTCTCCACATTTTCCCAAAAAGCTCTTTTTTCTGATAGCTGATCTGTTCTTACCATACACTGTTCCACCTGCTGCTGAAACCCCTCTTTATTGCCTGACGTGGCAGTTTCCTTGGACAAGAAGGTCTCTGCATGATCTACCCATTTCTCCACAACATCTGTATGTTTCTGCATTGAAAAGAATGAGAAAGGATTGGTCTCAACAATCAAAAAAAATATATACTTCCACCGAAACAAGTCAATCAACTTCAAGTTTGGAGATTGGGGTTTCAACTAGCATTTCACCTAACATGGTGGATGGGAGTTTTCAGCAAGGTCAGAGGGAACATAGATGCACGTGTGGAACTCTGGAACTGAAGAAAAAAATGATGCTTTTTCTCCTTATTTCTCTAATTCCTTCCTCTCCTGAAGGGTGACTAAAACGAGATACCCCTCTCCAGTACCATGTTGAAGCAACCACAATTCACATGTGACTCTTGGCAGACAGCTTTGGAAAGCTTTTATTAAATCATATGGAGCAAAGGAACCTACTCAGTCCTGCCTTCAGTTATCTCTTTCAATTGCCCCAAATTTGCTGAATGGTCTAGAAATTCCTGGAACACATGGATCGGATCATGTTGCATCACAGTAATTGAACACAGAAATTTACTTTCTCAGCAATCTCAATGACAGTAGCTTTCTGGGAAACCACTCTCGCGTATTTGTAGCATAAAAGAGGCCATAAACCAGAGAATCTTAGCATAAATAATCTGGGCTGAACAAAAGTGCGAAATATACATCTTCTTTATGCCTCCCTTTATCTTACTCGTGTCATAACAATTTGATGTCAAACCATCAATGATGCACTAAAGGTTTAAGAAAATGCAACTGATTAAGTTTTTCTTTTTAAATTAGCATACATAAATCAAAAATCTTAGCAAGGAAAAATCTTTAAAAATGCTTTTAAAGTACCATACAAATCCAGTGATGGTTACTTTATATCCTGCAAGCCTCAATATTTTGTACACAACTTTATGCCCATTCAAAGTTAGCAAAGGTACAGCAAACAAATGGTGAAACTAGCAGACAATTCAGGAGTGGGCCAAATGAGCACAAAAGTTTTCAATGTCTAACCCAAAATAAATTAGTTACATGCAAATTTGTTCTCAAATCAGCATAACACTAACCGAATGCTACAGCTGCATCAAAATCATAGAACCCCTACAGTGCAGATAGAGGCCATTCGGCCCATCGATTCAGCATACACTGTCTGAAAAAGCCTACACGGCCCTCTAAGACAATGAGTTCCACAGATTAACCACATCTAACTGAAGAAATTCCTCCTCACCTCAGTTCTAAAAGGTCATCCCTTCACTCTGCGGCTGTATCCTCAGGCTCTAGTCTCTCCTTCTGACAGAAACATCTTCTCCACATTCATTCTATCCAGGCCTCTCGGTGTTCTGTAAGTTTCAATAAGATCCTGCCTCATCTTTCAAAACTGCATCAAGTACAGACCCAGAGTCCTCAACCACTCCTCATACGTCAGCATGACGAGCCCTTCATCCCAGGGACCATCCTTGTAAATCTCCTCTGCACCTGACCAACACCAGTACGTCTTTCCTTAGATGTGGGGCCCCAAAACTGCTCACAATATTCCAAATGAGGTCTGACCAGAGCCTTACACACCCTCCATCATTAGGTCAGAAGTGGGGATGTTCACCAAGGATTGCACAATGTTCAGCACCATTCACAACTCCCTAGATACTGAAGCAGACCATATTCAAATGCACCAAACCAGGACAATATCGCATCTTGGGCTGAAAATGTCAAGTAACATTCATGCCACACAATTGCCAAGCAATGACCATCACCAATAGAGACAATCTAACCACCTCTCCTTGACGTTCAATGGCATTATCATCACTACTTACACTGCTGTCAACAGCCTGGAGGAGGCCACTGACCCCAAAACTCAACTGGACTCACCACACGCATATAGTGGCTACTTCAGCAGATCAGAGGCTAGAAATACTGAAGCAATTAGCTCACCTCCCAACTCCCCACAGCCTGTCCACAATCTACAAGGCAAAAGTCAGAATTTTGATAGAATACTCCCCACTTGCCTATATGGGTACAGTTACAACAACAGTCAAGAAGCCTGACGCCATCCAGGACAAAGCAGCTGACGTGATTGGTACCACATCCCCAAACATCTACTCCCTCCACCACTGATGTCAGTAGCAGTAATAACTACTTGCAAGACACACTGCAGAAATTTGACCACGATCCTTAGACAGCACCTTCCAAACCCACAGCCTACTGCATCTAAAAGAACAAGTGTAGTAGAAATATAATGCCATTCCTAAACCATCGCTGCATCAAAATCCTGCAATTCCCTCCCAAACAGCATTGTGGATCTACCTACAGCACATGGATTGCAGCATCGACGCAAGGCAGCAGCTCACCAAAACCTTCTCAAGGGCAACCTGGAAGAAGCAAGTCATGCTCACCCAGCCAGCAAGGCCCATGTCCCACAAATGAATTAAAAAATGCAGTATTCCCTCAGCGCTGCACCAGAAGCAAGCCAACAGTTTAAAAATGAAAACATATACTGTAAGTGCTGGCTTGATTTTCTCGTGCAGTACTGAAGAAACGGTGCAGTATCAGAAGTGAAATTGAGCCATAGCGTTGTACAGCACAGAAACAGGCCCTTCGGTCCAACCAGTCCGTGCGAACATAAATCTCAAACTAAACTAGTCCTACCTGTCTGCTCTTGGCCCACATCCTTCCAAACCTATCTTATTCATGTATCCAACCAAATGTCTTCTAAACATTGTAATTGCACCCGCATCCACCACTTCATAAGGAGGTTCATTCAACAGGCAAACTATCCTCTGTTTAAAAATTTGCCCCTCATGTCTTTTTTAAATGTCTCTCCTCTCACCTTAAAAATGTGTCCCCAAGTCTTGAAATTTCCCATCTTAGGGAAAAGACAAATACTGTCAACTCTATCTATATCTCTCATTATTTTATAAACTTCTATCAGGTCACCTCTCAACCTCCTACATTCCAGTGAAAAAAGTCCCCCAATTCCTAATGCCTGTCCCTGGTAGATTGAGGCCTCTACTGTTCAATATTGGTCAACATTAATTTTATATAGTCTCACTGACCTGAAATCGCCGCAGTTTGGATATAGTGTCTTCCAGCATCTGGCAGTCACCCTGAAGTTTTGTCATCAGCCTTCTCCATCGTGCCTGAATTGCTTCCAATTCTGGGTTATACAAGTTCCGTGAAGGCATCAGCTCCTCCCCTGTGCTTTGAGCCTCATCTGCTAGTTTGTCCATTTCAGGTTGATGATTTGTCAATTCATCTCGTATAGACTAGGGTGAATAACAGAGGGAAGGAGAGAAAGGGCATGAGGTTGGGAGGAGGGCGTAAAAGGGAGGAGAGAGAAGGGGCGAGGGGGGGAAAAGAGGGAAGGGATGGGGAGAAAGAGGGAAAGGGCGAAAGGGAGGACAGGGAAGTGGGGAAAGAGGGAAGATGAAAGAGGCAAGGGGGAGCAGGGAGGGAAGGGAACGGGGGAAAGGAGAAGAGGGAGCAGTGAAAGGGGGAATGGGGAAAGAGGGATAGAGGGAAAGAGAGAGAGGGGAGTAGGATGAGGAGAGGGAGAGAGAGGAATGAGGGGAAAAGATAGAGAGAGGATTGAGAGAGGGCAGAAATAAGGGAGAAAGAGGAATGAGGGAGAGAGACAGAGGAATGAGGGACAGTGACAGAGGAATGAAGCGGGAGGAGAGACAGACAGAGAGAGAAAGAGAAAGGAATGAGGGGGACAGAGGAGAGAGAGAGAGAGAGAAAGAGAGAGAGAGAGAGAAAGAGAGAGAGAGAGAGAGAAAGAGAGAGAAAGAGAGAGAGAGAGAGAGAGAAAGAGAGAGAGAGAGAGAGAGAAAGAGAGAGAGAGA